AGCAAGGGAATGTAAGAATGTGATAATTCCACAAAACTAAAAGGCTGAAGTAAGCAAAACTCTGTGAACAATCTGTAGCTGTAGTAGGGCATTAAAATTACAGAAACAGATGCATCTTTCTTCAACATAAAGCGTCAGATATATACTGTTATACTGTTGTAGCCGTGTAGCACTTCAACTCCAAGAATATAGCTTATTCCTGTCCAAAGAAAAAAATCGTTGTGATGTTTTTGAGTGGGTCTATGTTGTAAATTTACAGTTAGCACCAGCTCTGATTAAAATGAAATAATGTACTATAGGTAGACAATATTGTAATTCAGTAGACTTGTGGAATATGCAAACTTACTGTCATGTGACCTCAAAAAAAAAAAAAAAGACAGGCTAGAATACAGTTCCCGTAGCTCTTGTCCACTTTTGTAGGAAAGTTGATAAGCCATTGTGGCAATAACAGCTCAAGAAAACTGTTTGTTTCAAAGCTTTTATTCTATGTTCTGCAAAAACAAAACAAAAAAAATTGCTGTTAAGTGTGACAGTGACTGACTTTGTGCTGAAATTTCAGCTATTTCAGATGAACATTGTATATTATCTTGTAAATTAATGTTTAAAGTAGTTTTGTTATTATAGAAAAGTGTTGATCGACGGGTTACGTATAGCACTTTAAATTATTCTAGAAATGGAATAAAAGCCAAATGGGTTGGCTTAAGTAGATGTAGTTGTATATTATTTCAGAATATTTACATCTCTGGAAAGTTTTAAAAACTGATTTGAAGACAGCTTACTGCTATGGTAATGAGAAAGGGCAGACGTTTCATCTATCATATGCTAATGCTCAATAGGAATAGAAACACAGGGCTTTGGTTCCTGTCTCTGTGGATAGCTCTTGATCCTTATTAGAACTGAGTACAATGTGCAGACTAAATGTTTACAAAATAAGGAACTGTAAATAAATGGAAATGGCTTTTCTCCCCTTTGGTCTTCCACAGCAGTATTATTGTCTTTGTGGAGTTAAGACTGATTATTACAACAACAAAAGAAATCCTGGAATGGATTTTAAGTACTATAAGTTCACAGTGATGTATAGCAAATAAATCTAAATATATGTAAAAATAAACGTGAGTTGGCGTTTGTTTAGAAGTTGGAGTTCTGTTAGAAGCACAAATGCAGATTTTTGCTGTTCATTTAATAACTTTACTGAACATAAAGGATGCATTTGCTCATCCTTCTGGGGATTTTTTTTGTTTATGAAAACCCAATGGGAAGTGATTAGGGGGAAATACACTGTCTTCAGCCATTCTCAAGAAAAAAAAAATGCACCTTGGATTACCCTTACTGACAAAAGCCATTAATTCACATGCTTAGTCTCTATCCTAGGCAAGTAAAGCCTATTTTAGATTTTAAATGCTACTGTCAATGATTTTATAAAGAACTATATTTGGAAGAATTACATAAAAGTACAGAAAATCTTCAGTGTCTGAGTATTGGACCAGTCTTGGAAAGGTACACGAGAGGGGGGGGAAAAAAGTGGCAATCAAGAACAGTATAGTGCACAGTACAATAGCAATCACACTTTGATAGATACTAAATTAGTTAAGGAACAGAAAGACACGAGTTAAAGTATAAACGACTGTGGTAACACCTGGTGATGTGAGGAGCTGTGTCAAGGATCTCCAGAGTAATGCATGGCTACTAAGGAAAGACCAGGAACTGTGTTAACCAAAGGTACAGGGAAATGCTGTGCGATACATGTAAAAGATCATATAGATGAGATCAAGGGGACTGCCTTGATCCGTTTCCTGCCTTCAGTTTAATATGAATTTTCTGCAGTATCATTCCTTTCCATCTTTCCTGGCAAGGGTTGCCTCTGTGACTGTGAAGAGTTGAGGTTTGACGTATGCTGACGCTTTATCAGCTGCCTGTTGGAAGGGTTTGGTGCCAGAAGCCTGTGTCTCAGCATCCAGTACTCGGATGGATTCAGTGATGAACCTGATGTTTTGTTCAGGTACTGGGGATTCTTACCACATCATCTTTCAGCTCTAAATCCTATTTATGTTAATTACTGCTTCTGTATAATCTCCAAAACACCGTGATTTCTCACATACAGCTTGTGGTTGTATCCCCCGCTCACCTCCATACACCGCATTAGATGTGCTTTTTGTATGGGAGTTAGTGTGTTTGCTTGGAATCCAGTCTTTGGAGAAGAGTAAAAACATTTACTGCTTGCTCAGTTTCAAATTAAAACAATTATCTTGGTTTGGATGCTCCTCAGTAGTCCCCATTCAGGACTTGAATCTTAAATGATTTTCACAGTTTAGAAGGCTTTGCATCGTACCGTCTGCTCAACGATAAATGATGCAGGGCAGTGTGAGACAAATATTAGTCATCTCACATGGGTGGTTTTCTTACCCAACTGGAAATTAAATATTTTGAGTGTAAAAATGGAAGTCTGTGTGTTATTGCATAAAGTTTTCGATGTTGCATTGGGATGACGAAGAGTGGCAGACTTGGGAAGTTACCTCCAGGGAGCTAGAGGTTCATGATGTGTAGCAGTGATGGTGTCGTTACATAGGTGAGCTGAGGAATTGAAGGCAAGGGGAGGTTTGAAGAGGGCTTGTGAGCTTGGAGGCTAGTCTTTTTTTTCCCTTAAATGTCAATTGACCTAATGTTACCTTTCTCTAAATGTATAATCTTGGTTTTATCCTGTATGGTTGGTATAGACGCACGTACATCTGGGTGTTCTGATGTGCAAGAAGGCATTAGGAAACACTGAGATTCGAGAAGCAGAGTTTGTCACACGTGAACTTAACACTGAAAAAAAATCTGTGGGGAGCTGTATCTGCTGTGTTGTCCTGTGGCAGGATGAGAGCTCTCGTGAGCAGAAATATGTAATTCACTTGCACACTGATGTGCGTGTAGTGTACATTACGTGTGCAGGTATTCTGTGTGGGAGCTGTTTCATTTCCATGGACTCTCAAATCTTCTTCTGGGGCTGTGGACAGAAACCTTCACAGGGAAGTATTTTAATTGCCTGGGAAAAGGAGAACGTACTTATATTTTGAAACAATTTATTGATGTTTTACATCCCAGAATATGCACGTGTATTTCTTCTCCAGTGTGTGGGAGGAATAACCCAAGAAATAATCAGTTGAGGATTTTATTTATAGTTCATGTATTCCTTTGACAGCCAGCTTTCCTCAGGACAGTTCACACGGCCATACAGGTCATTATACAGAGATGGAAAGAATAAGGTAAAGATACGCAGGTAAATATTCTGATATGTGAGTGTTACAGTTAGAGGTCAGCTTTGCGAGTCAACTTGAGAAGTCTGAGAGATCTCACGAAAACAACATTAAATAAGTTCCACTGAATCCATCTTGTTTTTTTTTTTCTTCCTTAAAACTCACAATGTATAACTGTGCCTGAAATGTTAATGATTTACATAGACTTACCATACACATAGTCATTAGCTCTTGTATCACTAACTTATAAAATAATTCATTTGTTTGTTCATTGGAGCTTCCAACTGGAGTACCTGTACTCTCATCATAAGATAGCAATACTTGTTTTATCACAGAGACAAGATGTTTATACATCTTTTCTTCTGTAAGAAGATATTTACTCTTTCACTTTGAAAGAATGTTATGGAGAAAAAAAAACAATTTATTTTTCATTATGCACAATACTTGCCTGGGCATCTCGCTCTGAAACAAATGCTTTTCGCGTGAAGCACGTTTTTACCAGGGCAGCTATTTTTACAGCAGTGGTTTAAAGCAACTGTGATTGATACCCTCCGGTAAGCGTTGTAGACCCTACAGGGCTCTCGGATTTGTACATGATACAAACGGTTTTAAGACGCAGAAGTATCCCTTCATTAACATTTAATGCTCCTCAGCACCACCTGGACTGACATTTATTGTTTCTGTGATACCAGAAGGGTTGAGATGGCAAACGCTGTAAAAGGAGGCCGGCATGTCTGTGCCATGTCCAACACCGATTTCCTTAGCCGATTGTTAGTTACGAGCCCTGTTCCTGGGCCTCTTCTCCCAAAGGCACATTCAAGTGGAAGGTGCTGGTAGCAGTCGCTGGTTTTGCTCTATGCAATGGTACAGGTGCCTTGCTGTTTTCGTATGTTACATATCACTTGCCCCTGTATTCGTAGGAACTGCGTTTCCCTAGATAACCAGATGATACGTTGTCCCATGTTGTGTAGGAGGTATTTGCTGTATAGCATCAGGTCAAAACTTTTTTGTGCGTTACAGTCTGTTGGGTGTTTTCTCTCCAGCATCCGTAACTGTAAATGTGAAACTATCTAATAAATTAGTCATATAAATACATTAAATATAAAACCTCATTTATAAAAAGAATTTTGTCTTAGTTGTCTTATATCTTAGTGATATGTACGAGAAAGTTGTGTCAGTAAGTTGCCGCAAGATAATACTGCCGTAGTGTTAGCATATCCTGTTTGTAAAGGAAACGAATGCGATATCCTTCATTCTCTGTTAAAACTATTTTTACATGCATTTAAATAAATTAATTAGGAAATATGTGCACAAGATCACTTTCAATGATCAGAAACTTGGTCTGAGTTTGTATTGTCATTCAACTCCTGACGTGGTTTATATTCCTGATACCCTGGTTTAAATAGCTGGTAAGTTCTTAAATGTAAAAAAAGTCAAAATTGGAATTTATTTGTAGCTTTTTATATTCCTCTGGGGTTTGATAATCAGCTGCTTATACTCAATATAGATTTTTCTCTTTGTTTTTCATGTAGTAATTAACTGAACCATCCTGCAAACCCTCCTAGGACAGAGAAAAATCCGTTTGGATACTTGCATTATCATGCAGTAGTTACAAAATACGTGTTTAGAAAAATGCTCAGTGTCTCTTCTGTGCGGGGGACGGAGGGAATCTTGTCTATCCTGTATTCAAAATGTGCACATGCTAATAGCAAGGGAGACACGGAGAAGGGTTTTCCAAAACAAGTTGCTCTGGTTGTGGCATGCTCATTTTAATAAAGTAATTATGACATCGTCATCCCGTCCTTGCCATAACATTTCTCCCTCAAAGTCCACCAGCCCGTGTTTCCTGGCTCTCATGAGAATCCCAACGACCTTGTCTGAAATACGAACGTATCTCTCGAAGAGTTCCCCGAAGGTGACCTGGATCTTGCCGTCGGGCCGTGGCTCGGCCATGGACTCGATGATGAAGCACAGGTCCCTGATCTCGCGGTGGATGTGGGCCTGGGCTCTCTTGGCTCTTTCGGCAGTTTTGGTTCCCTCCTTTGGCCGGCCGTAGCCTTCGTCTCCTTTGTGCAGGCGCGTGGACATGGCCAGCTCGTGGTCAAACTCCTCGCTGAAGGGGTTCAGCTTCTGAGTGGTGATGTGCTGGTTGGCCCACTCTTGCCATCGGTCCTTCAGGCTGTGAACGGGGCTGTATGTCCTCTGGGCTTTGCTGCGCGCGTCTTCGCTGAACCGGCTTGTGCTGAAAGAAAGGAAAAGGGCATTGAAGCGTTGATGTCATCACTTCATGACACAGTTCTTCCTTCCCCTGATCTTTTCCATCACTTGGTTACCCTGTTGTCCCAGGTGAGATGCTAACCACCAGGTGCCATGAGTTCACTGCTTCTAAATGAGCTTCTCGGGGGCTTTCAGTCCATGGTCCAGGTTGCAAATTCACTGATCACAGCATGATCCCTTCTCCACTACCCCCCTCCAGCCTACCTTTGAGACCATTTTGCCAAACTCTTGCTCAGAAGGACTTAATTCCATGTGGGAGGGAAGCAGTACGCTGCTGGTAACCTGCGCTTTCTGCACCTTTGGTCAGACACTCAGGTCCCTGTTGGGTGCCTGCCTTGCAGAGCCTGGGACCTGCCTGCCCTGGTACTACAGGGGCAATAACCATAGGGTACGGACTGGGTCCTCAGCTGGTTTTGGCTGGGAAAGAGAGGGCAGTGTCTAGAAAAATCCATCCCCTGTGGTAAGTGTCGATGTTGACGTTTAAAGCAACAATGAAAAGCTGATGGAGTGCAGGAGCCCTGCCTGTGCTCATATATTTGAAGCAGGGATCTGAAAAAGTACCAAAGTTCACATCCCCACCGGCAGGGTAAAAGCCTGAAAGAAACGTAAGACACCTGAGATTTGTGTCAAGGTCAAAGGATGAGGAAAGACCTTCAGTGATCTTAATTTTTCCTTGCGTGTGCGCACGTAGCAACCTCATATTGCTGGATAACTCCAGGCAGAGAAACTGTTGATGTTCTTTCCTCCAGTGGCCCATCTGACATGTTGTGGGGTAGCTGCAGATAGTCTGAGCTAGGCTTTGTGCTGCCCACGTCCTGTCGTTGTGTCTGTACAGGGCTTGGCTGGGGAGTACGCTGCGCTGTGGCTGTGCCAAAGTAATTTGTTTTCTAATATTTTTACTCCCCAGAAGGCTGCTCTGAAACCTCCCCAGGAACGTCAGCTGAATATTAACAGTAAGACCAGAGAATCAAAGTACAGTTAGCACAACACTGCAGAGGACTGCACAGCTGCAGAACATTTCGTTTCCCTGCTGTTTGGACATCCCTTTGTTTTCTCCTAAGCCTGTTGGAAGAGAACAGGAGAGACAGAGGTGCCCCCAGTTCAGGTCTGTGCCCCAGAAGGCTGCCAGCACTGGGCACAGTCTCAGCTCCAGCTGAACTCAGATTGATTGCTTCCCAGCGTTTCACATGGGAAGGTATCCATGAAAGGGGGGGAAATACCCAAAGTGAATCAAATTGCATAGGAGAAGTGATAGCAACGGTCTCAGGGGAGCTGCTGGGCAGATCCCATCACAGAGAGCATCTCCCTTGGCCGCAGCCGGCTGCTCCCCTGTCTCTCCTGGGGGCCCTGACCCCCGAGAATGTCCTGGAGCCCCCATTCCCCAGGGCTGAGGGGAAAGAAGCCAGTGAGTAGGAGAGCGTAACTCTGCAAAGGCTTTGTTACCTCTGCTTATTTACTAGTCTGGTAGGTGTTCTCT